CCATGGACAGGACCAATGTCATCTACAAGATCCCCTGCAGAGACTGCGAGAAACACTACATCGGACAAACAGGAAGGAAACTAACAACAAGAGTACATGAACACCGACTGGCTACAAAAAGACACGACCAATACTCACTCATCTCAATCCACATGGACAAGGAGAACCATGACTTCAACTGGGACAACACCAAGATCCTGGGACAGGCTAGGCAGAGACAAGCACGATAATTCCTGGAAGCATGGCACTCCACGAAGCATGCTATTAATAAACACATTGAACTCAACCCCATATACATTCCACTACGGAGGAAACCCGGAAGTGAGGCAATCCATCACAACAGACGCCTGAGTTTAAAAACCAGGCGGGAAAACACACCAACGCTTCAGCAGAGGCTGCACTGAGGATGTTACCAAGCACGGTAACGAAACGTCTGTATTTGGGGTGTTTATACGATTAACAGATGAGCAGGGGTGAAAGGATTTCCACTGTTGAGGGGAAATTCAGGTCAATAAGGAGAAAACCTGAGTGTTTGAACAAGGAAGCACTTCTTCATAGAATTATATAGTACAGAAGAGGCCCTTTGAGTCTGCAATACGACTCCAAATCTACACTAGCCCCACCATCCTGCACAAGGCCCATAGCCTCAAATGTTATGACATTTCAAATTTTCATCCAAGTACTTTTTAAAGGTTGTAGGTTTCTAGCCTCAACCACCCTCCCTTCCAGACCAACAACATCCTCTGGGGGAAGAAGGTTTTCCTCAAATCTCCACTAAACCTCCTGCCTTTCACTTTAAAATTACACTTCCTTTTCAGTGACCCTTCAAAAACTGAGGGAACAGCTACTCTGTATTCATTCCGTCCGTGCCCCTCGTAATCTAAACACCTCCATCAGATCACCCCTCAACCCTCTATGCTCTAAAGAAAACAACGTGAGCTTATCCAGCCTCTCTTCATCGCTAAGCTGCTCCATCCCAGGCAACATCCTGGTGAATCTCCTCCGTACCCCCTCCAGTGTAATCATATCCTTCCTATAGTGTGGGTACCAGATCTGCACACAGTGCTTCAGCTGTGGCCTAACCAAAGTTCTGTACAGCTCCAACATAACCTAAACTCTGCTCTTATACTCTCTGCCACGACTGACAAAAACAAGTGTCCTGTACGCTTTCTTAACTACCCGATTACCCTGCCCAGCCACCTTCAGGGATCTGTGGACCAACACCCCAACATTACTTGTTAAACACCTTGTTAAAACTTTTGCTGAAATCCATCACCTGGATGGATCAAAACCACATCAACTGCACAACTATCATCTACTAACCTGGTCACCCCCTCAAAAAACTCAACAAGATTCATTAGGTATGACTTCTCCCAAACAAAACGATGCTATCCCTCATCAAACATGGCCTCTCGAAATGGAGATTTAATTTCTCCTTCACTAGTTTCTCCAATAGTTTCCCTACCACTGATGTCAGACTCACTGGTCTGTAGATCCTCCGGTTTATCCTTTCCACCCTTCTGGAAAAGTGGAATCTTAGTTATCCTCCAGTCCTCTGGAACCTCCTCTACGACCAGAGAGGAATTAAAATTTTGGGTCAAAGCCACAAATGTTGTTCAAGTTAAGACTGTAAAGACTCTTACCAATTTTTATACATGCACCATAGAAAGCCTTCTATGCGGATGCATCACGGCTCTGCCCAGGACCATAAGAAACTACAGAATCATGAACACAGCCCAGACCATCACGCGAGCCAACCTTCCATTCATTGACTCCACCCATACTTCTCACTGCCTCAGGAAGGCAGCTAATATAATCAAAGACCCCTCCCACATTGGTTATACTCTCTTCCAACCTCTGCCATCAGGCAGAAGATATAAAAGCTTAAACACATATACCAACAAGTTCAAGAACAGCTTCTTCCCTGCTGTTATTAGACTGCTGAATGGACCTCTCTAATTTTAATTTTAATGTTGATCCCTCTCTCTCTGTGCACCTTCTCTGCAGTTGTAACATTGTATTCTTCACTCTGTTCCATCATCCTTATGAACTTTGTATGGTATGATCTGTCTGTACTGCACGCAAAACAGAACTTTTCATCGTACCTAGGTACAAGTGACAATAATAAATCAAGTCAAATCAAAATAACAGAAGTGGAAATCTGAAGCATTCCACTGACATGCTTTGACTCAATTTCAAAACAAGATGCAGTTTAGATAAAGATTAGTCCTGACTGACTTCACTGGGGCAAGGTTTGAATGTTTAAGTGAGCCTTTCCTGGCTCATTATCATAAAATATCAAACCCCTAGTCCCAGCCTCTGCTCCCTGTACTCACCTGATTACAAAATCCCTAACTGAGTACTTACCATGCTCCCCGCAGCCCCACGAGAACACCTCTTTGTTGCGTGTTAATGCGACAACATGATTATCACCACAGGATACGTGTTCAACAGCATGATCGAGGGAGAACTCCACTAGCACAGGCACCAATACCTCCTGTCCATACTGACCATCACAGCCAATACAGCCATAATAATCAGAGCCAAACGTATACAGGTGACCCTCATCTACAAGGAAAACACAACAAGGGTCAGGACAGGCACTACGGCTACGGAGGGACTCCATAAAACCCAGTATCAAGTAAAGCCTCCTCTATTCTTTTAAGCTGAAAATAAAGTTCCCTCTACACTGTCCACATCAGACACCCCTTGGACAGGAACAGCATAGAGTTAGATAACAGAATAAAGATCTCTCTACTCTTTTAAACTGTAAGTAAAGCTCCCTCGATACTGTCCACAACAAACATTCCAGCTTCTCCGACACCATCCACATCAAACACTTGCAAGACAGGGACAGTACAATGTTAGATACAGTGTAAAAGTTTCTATGCTTTTAGACTGAAAGTACAGCTTCCATACTCCATCCTCATCGAACACTCCCAGAACAGGGACAGTATGAGTTAGATACACAGTAAAGTTGCCTCTGCACTGCCCCCACCAAACACTCCCAGGAAAAGTACAACATAGAATTAGGTAAAGAGTAAAGCTCTCTTTACTTTTTTAAACTGAAAGTAAAGTGCCCTTGACACTGTCCCTGTCAAACACTCCAGCAAAGGGTTGGATACAGAGTAAAGTTCCATTTACAGTGATGATGACACAGGTTGGGGAGTCTCTGAATTTAGATTATTGTGCTGTAGTGAACATGTTGTGAGATTCTTGGTATAAAGATATACAGGAAAGTAATCTGTGAAGAAGCTACAAGGAAGTTACAAAGGGGTACAGGCAGGTTAAGTGAGTGACAAAGATCTGGAAAATGGAGCATATAATGCAGGAAAATGTGACCTTTTCCCCTATGGCAGGAAGGTTAAAAGTTAAGCATATTATCTAAATGGTAAGGAATCATGGAACTCTGAGTCAGAGAGGGAGCTGGGTCTCCACGTGTACTAATCATAAAAGGTTAACATGCAGGGAAATCAAATAACTAGAAAAGCTAAGAGAATTTTATTATTGGTTGAAAGGTGAATTGTATAACCTTATTATTTTTGGATTCATCAGTTATACAAGGCACTGGTGAGACCTTGTCTGGAGCACTGTGTACAGTATTGATCAATATTTTTCGTGTGGATCACTGGGTGGACCAACATTTCTTGTCCATCCCTAGTTGCCCCTTGAAAAGGTGGTAATGACTGCCTTCTTGAACTGCTCCAGTATCTGTGCTGGAGGTTGACCCACGGGAATTCCAGGATTTTGATCCAGAGACAGTGAAGGAACAGCAATATATTTCCAAGTCAGGATGGTGAGTGGTTTGGAGGGGAACTTGCAGCTGCTGATGTTCCCATTTCTCTGCTGCCCTTATCGTAGATGGAAGTGGTCATGGGTTTGGAAGGTGCTGTCTGAGGATATTTGGTGAATTTCTGCAGTGCATCTTGTAGACAGTACACACTGCTGCTACTGAGCGTCGGTGGTGGAGGGAGCAAATGCTTGTGGATGTGGTGCCAATCAAGCGGGTTGCTTTGTCCTGGATGGTGTCAAGCTTCTTGAGTGTTGTTGAAGCTGCACCCATCCAGGCAAGTGGGGAGAATTCCATCACACTCCTGACTTGTGCCTTGTAGATGGTGGCTGGGCTTTGGGGAGTAAGGAGTGAGTTACTCGCCAGTCTTCCTAGCTTCTAACCTACTCTTATATCTACTGTTTCTATGTAGTTACTCCAGTTCAGTTTCTGGTCAATGATAACTCCAGGATGTTGATGGTGGGGGATTCAGTGGTGATACCATTGAATGTTAAGGGGCGGTGATTAGATTGTCTCTTACTGGAGATGCTCAATGCCTGGCCCCACTTCTGACCTTATGACAGAAGTAACGCCATTGATGAAGCAGCTGAAGATGTTTGGGCCCAGGACACTACCCTGAGGAACTCCTGCAGTGATGTCCTGGAGTTGAAACTGACGTCCAACGACCAAAACCATCATTCCATGTGCCAGTTATGATCCCAACCAGCGGAGAGTTTGCCTCCAGATTCCCAGTTTTGCTCAGGCTCCTTGATGACACACTCAGTCAAATGCAGCTTTGATATCAAGGGCTGTCACTCGCACCTCACATCTGGAATTCAGCTCTTTTGTCCATGTTTGAACCAAGGCTGGAATGAGGTCAGGAGCTGAGTGGCCCTGGCGGAACCCAAACTGGGCGGCACTAAGCAGGTTATTCCTGAGCAGGTGCTGTTTGATAGCACTGCTGATGGCTTCATCATTTTACTGATGATTGAGAGTGGACTGATGGGGCGGTAAGTGACAGATTGGATGTGTCCTATTTCTCGTGCACAGGATATATCTGGACAATTTTCCAGCAATTTAACATAGAATGTAAATACATTGGAGGTAGTTGAGGTAATGTTTACCAGACTAATACTTAGAATGAGAGAGCTATCTCACAATGAAAAGTTGGACGGTCAAAGCTTCTATCTGCAGGTGTTTAGAAGATCAAGTGGTGACTGGACTGAAACATATCGAATCATGAAGGGTCTAACAGGGTGGATGTGGAGGGGATGTTTCTTTCTGATAGAAGAATTTAGAACCAAGGGATCACTTTGATCAGGGGTTGCCCATTTAAAGCAAAGATGAGTTGGGTTTTGTTTACTCTATCAGGTAGCTCTCAGTCTTTGGACTCTTCCTGAAAAGATGCTGGAAGCAGAGTCCCTGATTGGTTATAAAGCAGAGGTGGACAGTTCTTGATCCACAAGGAGTTGAAAGGCTATCAGAGGTAGGTAGGACTATGTATCTCAGGTTACATCAGATCAGCCATGATTTTATTAAATGGCAGAACAGGTTTCAGCTGAACAGTCAACTGCTTCTCCTTAGTTGAAGGATCTTGCTCCTCCTTGCTGTCCACTCACCGGTAACACAGGCAGTAAATTCATCTCCACAGGCTGCCTGGTGGATGGCCTTCCCCTGCAGCTTCTCCACCCACTTGGGCTGACGATAGGAGGCCCGGTCACCATGGCCCAGTTGGCCTACCATCTTCGTCCCACCCTGAACATTCTGTACAAATAAGAACAAGGGCTTGCTTTGGCACAGCACAAAAATCACAGCACAATTCATAATCAATAAGATACACTCAAAGACCAAGCTGCTTAATGTACCAAACACAGTCAACAACTTGTACACAAGATCTCACCGACAGCTCTGAAATAACTCCCAGGTAATGTCAGCAATATGGGTCTCTGTTTCTCTCTCCCCATCTCTGCCTAGTTCCCTCTGCCTTCATTTCTCCCCACCCTCTCTGTTCCTTTCCCTGCTATTGCCTGTCACTCATTCTCACCGCATCTCTATCCTCCGATCTCTCTAGCTCTTCCCTTTGTGTTTCTCTCTCTCTCTCTCCATCACATTGTCCCTTCCTTTCTTCCTCTGTGCAGGTCTCACTCTCACTGCCTCTCTCGATACCAGTCTGCCTATCTGTCTGTCTCACTCTATCCCAGTCATCTGTCTCTTTATTCCAGTCTGCCTGTCCCTCTTTATCTGTTCCAATTTGTCTGTGCGTCTGCCTCCCTCTATCCCAATCTATCTATTGCTCTATCCCAGTCTGTTTGCCAGTCTCTGCATCCCATTCTCTCTGGCTCCCCATCCCAGTCTTTGATTGACAAGTGAACCTGCCTCCCCCGACACACTCAGGCAGTACATTCCAGGCCCTAACCACTCGAGTGAACCTGCCTCCCCCCACACTCTCAGACAGTACGTTCCAGACCCTAACCACTTGCTGTGTGGAAAAGTGTCTCTTTTAATAATCCCCTTAAAAGATGTGCCCTCTGCGTTGAAGTCCTTTCACCAACAGGAACATATTCACTCTGTCCAGGTCCAACGTGATTTTGAAGACACTTTCTCTCCCTCTCTCCTCTCCCTCCCACTCTGGTACTCACCGCCCAGGTGTAAAGCTCCTTTTCCACCGATAGCACAGCGAAGTGTGTGTTGCTGGCACAGACCTGCTGCGCACTGCGCCCACCCTTGAATAGGTCCAGTTTCTGTGGTGTGGCTTTTCCACCGCCCCAGTAATAAACATCGCTGAACTGACTAGTCACCACTGCAATGGGAGGGTCAGCAGGTGTATTCAGTCTGAAGAAAGAACACAGACAGCAATCAGAACCGAATATAACAACTGGAACTCAATAAAACAATGTTCCCAGTACTTCCCCACAGCCCCTTCCCACCTCAAGGTACATGACTCCAACCTCACAAAGCCTGAAGCCTAGTTTCTGAACTGTGATGCATGTTCTAAATGAACACTCACTGATACTACCCCAGAACCCAAATCCTACCTTCAGACCCCAGCCTAGAACCGTTGCTCACGACTCCACCAATGAATCGAAGCTGGCAATCAGTGGATAGTCACAGAATGGAAAGAGCATTGGAAAAGGTCATTCAACCCATGGTGTCTGTGCTGGCTCACTGAAGGAGTAACAGTCAGAGTTACCTTGCCTCATCTTCACAACACATCCCCCTGTCTCAATTCACAGCCATTCATATAATAACCTACCGTCCTGTTTTTGCTCCCAGAGTAGATAGCCTCACACTTATCCACATTTATACTGTATCTGCCATGCATTTGCCCACTCACTCAGCCTGTCCAGATCACACTGCAACAATCTCTACATCCATCTCACAGCTGATCCTCCCATCCAGTTTTGTGTCATCTATAAATTCAGAGATAGTACATCTAAATCATTAATATATATTGTGAATAGCTGCATCTAAGCACTGATCCCTACAAAACCCTACTATGTTAGCTACCCTCTAATCTGTCGGAACGGTTCTACACTCTGCAGAATCTTGGAAGATGACGACCAATGTATCCACTATTTCTAGGGCCACTTCTTTAAGTACTCTGAATGTAGATCATCAGGCCCTTTCAATTCCATTAGTTTCCTTAACATCATTTCTCTCCTAATATTGACTTCCTTCATTTCCTTTCCCTCAGTAACGTCTGTTCCCCAACATTTCTAGGATGTTATTTGTGTCCTCCTTTGTGAACACAGAACCAAAGAAGCTCTCCGCTTCTTCCCGGAGCAAAGACCTGAACCATCCTCACCCACCACCACCCTCCTCCGCCTTTTCTAGCTCGTCCTCACCTTCAACAACTTCTCTTTTAACTCCTCTCATTTTTCTTCAGGTAAGAGGGGTGGCCATGGGTACCCGCATGGGCACTAGTTATGCCTGTCTCTTCATGGGGTATGTGGAACATTCCTTGTTCCACTCCTATTCCGGCTCCCACCTCAACTCTTTCTCCAATATATCAATGATATCATCAGTGCTGCTTCCCTCTCTTGTCTGGAATTGGAAAACTTCATCAATTACGCCTCCAATTTCCACCCTGCCCTCACTTTCACCTGGTCTATCTCTGACTCACCTTCCTCGGCATTTCTGTTTCCATTTCCAGGGATAGACTGACCACTGATATCCACTATAAACCCACGATTCCCACAGCTACTTGGACTATACATCCTCACACCCCACTTCCCGTAAAGACTCCATCTCACTCTCTCAGTTCCTCTGTCTATGTCACATATGTTCATATGAGGCCAACTTCAACAAAGGAGCCTGCGAAATGTCACCTTCTTCCTCAACTGAGGATTCCCCAGCTCTGTTGTCGACAGGGCCCTCAATCGAGTCCAACCCATCTCCAGCACTTCCATCCTCACCCCTTCTCTTCCCTCCCACAACAGCGATAGGGTTCCCCTTGTCCATACCTACCATCCCACCAGCATCCATGTTCAGAAGATCATCAGACACCATTTGCGCCACCTCCAGACACATATTCCCCTCCCCTCCCTTGTCCGCCTTCTGCAGGGACTGTTCCCTCCAGGACACCCTGGTCCACACTTCCTTCACCCACAACGTGCCCAGCGCCCCTCGACCCTCCCCCTCCCGCACCACCGCCTCACGGCACCTTCCCCTGTAACTGGCGAAGGTGCAACACCTGCCTATTTACCTCCTCCCTCCCCAGTATCCAAAGGCCCAAACATACCTTCCAGGTGAAGCAACACTTCACCTGCACTTCCCAGAATCTAGTCTACTGCATTCACTGCTCACAATGTGGTCTCCTTTACATTGGGGAAATGAAGCGTAGACTGGGTGACCGTTTCACAGAACATCTACGTTCTGTTCGCAAAAAAGACCCTGAACTACCTGTGGCCTGCCACTTTAACACACTACCCTGTTCCCTGGCCAACATCTCTGTCTCTGGCTTGCTGCAGTATTCCAGCGAAGCTCAACACAAGCTGGAAGAACAACATTTCATTTTCCACTTGGGGACCCTGCAGCCCATTGGATTCAATATCAAGTTCAATAATTTTAGGGCCTAAACTCTCCCATGTCCCAGCCCTCTCCCTCACACACCAGGCCTTGTTACCACATAGCCTGCCATTACACACCCACTGTTGTTAGTCACTAATAGTCCCCATTAACAACTATTCACCCTCCCAGCCTAATCATTACCAACTCCTTTCTCTATCTAACTGTCTTTCTCTCTCTTTGGGCTCTATCCTATCATTTACTCCCTAAGCCAAACCCCTCCCTTTTTTCTGCATATACACTGACGTTTTTCCAGCCACTATCAGTTCTGAGGAAGGGTCACCGGACCCGAAACGTTAACTCTGATATTTTCTTCATAGATGCTGCCAGACCTGCTGAGCTTTTCCAGCAACTTTCTTTTTGAACCAAAGTATGTATTTAGTTGGTGAGCAAATTATTTATATTCCTTTATAATTTCTGCTTGGCTCCTCTATTCTTCCTGCCAAAGTCAGTTTTTTAGTCCACTCATTTAGCCTGGCTGTATCCCTCTGCAGACTCACATTACTTGCCATCTCATGCAGCTTTGTGTCGTCTGCAAACTTGGCTATTCACATTCATTTTCCTTGTCCAAGTCATGGATATATATTGTAATTAATTGTGGCCCTGTTGCACTCCACTAGTTACAGGTTTGCCATCCTGAAAATGCCTCTTTTATCCCAAATCTTTGTCTCCAATTAGTTAGCTAACCTCCTATCAATGCTGATAAAGTACCTCCAACACCATGGGCTCTTGTCTTATTAAGTAGCCCAGTGTGTGGTACCTTATCAGTTGTCTTATGATCAAAAGACCACAAGGCCATAAGCTGTTGGATGGCATCTTGGAGCAGAAGTAGGCCACTCAGCCCATCAGTCTGCTCCACTATTCAATGAAATCCTGGCTGTTCTGAAAATCCTCAACTCTACTTTCTTGCCATTTCCCAAAACCCATGATTCCCATATTGATTAAATATCTGTGTATCACAACCTTGAATATACTTAGGGAACCATTTGGCTCCTAGTCTCATTGCAGCCTTGATTCAAACATAGTCAGAAGAGCTGAATTCCAGACGTGAAGTGATAGTGACTGACCTTGATATCAAGGCAGCATTTGACCGAATGTGGCATCAAGGAGCCCTAACAATGAAGTTGTCTTTTGGAATTGGGGGAAAACTCTTTGCTGGTTGGAGTCATATCAAAACCAAATTAAGATGGTTTTGGTTGTTGGCAATCAGTCATCTCAGCTCCAGGACATCTCATTAGGTCATAAGTGAGGATGTTCGTTGATAATTGCACAATATTGAGTATTATTCACAATCTCTCAGATACTGAAATAGTCAATGTCCAAATACAGCAAGACCTAGATTGTAGCCAGGCTTGGGCTGATAAGCAAGAAGCAATACTTGTGCAACATACGGTGATTACCTCCAAGAAGGGAGAATCCAAATATTTCCTCTTGCCAAGCAAAGGCACAACCATCACTAAATCCCCCACTATTAACACCCTGGGGCTGCCATTCATTAGAAACCATACTAGATCATCCATATTAATACTATGCCTTTGTCTGACCAAGACTAGAGGAAAGTACTGTTGCTGTAATCCCACTACTCGGCAGGTCATAACATCAAATAAAAATACTATTTCCATTTACGAAAATGACCAATTGAGGTTGGTTGGCTCGCCGAGCTGGTTTGTTGTTCTACAGATGTTCCGTTACCGTGCTTGGTAACATCCTCAGTGCAGCCTCTGATGAAGCGTCGGTGTGTTTTCCCACCTGGTTTTTAAACTCTGGGGTCCGTTGCGATGGATTGCCTCATTCCCGGGTTTCCTTCGTAGTGGAATGTATATGGGGTTGAGTTCAATGTGTTTGTTAATAGCAAAACGAAAGTACACCGAAAAGCCACACACACAGACCAGGTATTGAACTTCAATAGTAACCATCCCAGCACACAT